AACAACAAAGCCAACAGCAAAGGTCAGGAGGGTAAATGGACTCCTTACCTTGTGACAGGAACATCCCCCCATGGTTTCAACCCCCCTCCTGCTGCCACCCCATCCCCTGGGCCCCCCCGGGACACGGACCCCGAGATCCATCCAAGGCTGGAACCCCCTGAAGGCTGCTCTGGAGGAGCACAGGGGAGTGATGCTCCTGTGTCCCTCTGCTCTGGTGGGCACACACAGACCCCTCCACCCGTGCTCCAAGCCCCAGGGCCCACTCACCAAAGGAGACATCCCCAAAGAGCAGGGAGGGCACGTTGAAATGAAACGTCGGCGCGATGACGCAGCCCCTGGGAGGACAGAGCACATGGGCTTGGTTAAGGACTGCAAAGCTTGTTATTGGCTTCCCTTGCTGCTTGGATGGAGAAAAACTGGTCTCAGAACCCGTGGTGGGTTTCAAATCCAGCCTCCCAGGCCAGCAGGGCAGGCACAGCAAGGTGGGCAGCAGCTGGTGGGGCTCAGGGCACCACGTCAAGGCAGGTTGGCTTGATGGACCCTCAACCACTGATGGCTCCGTGCCTCAGTTTCCCCACCGTGTGGGAGGTGGCCACACAAAACATGGACTCACTCCAACCAGCCTTCCAGCTGTAGGTTCCCTGCTTTGGTGGTTCCCAGCTGGAACTGGTGTTTCCATGGAGCAGATGAACTTCTTCCCCTCAAGAGGATCTTGATCTGCTCCAGAGATGTGAATCCAGACATCCACAGACCAGGAGGGCAGCAACACTTCTACACAGTGGACAGTTGAATCTTGGGGCACAGTTTCAGCTGACACAACCAAGAGCAACACAGCTTCAAGTCCAACCCTACCCATCTCCTTGCCTGTCACTCAGAAGCTGAGCTCCCAGCTCCAAAACTCACCCAAACCAGCACTTGGAGCTGCACAACATCAATCTCTATCATGGTTGAGGCCAATCCATGCTGGCTCTGCCTTGTAGCTAAAGCAGGGGTCACAGGAATGGGTTTCTTCTAGTTTCAGACCCAGGGCTGCCACCAGATGTGCCTGGCACATGAACAGTGTCCCACAGAAGAGCCCTGTGCTCACCCATAGGGTCCCATTTCCAGGATATCCCCCTTTCTAAACACCAAAGAACCATTTAGAACCTCCTAAGGTTTCCAAGGCAAGAAGAATCAGCCAAGGTGTGGGCACCTTCTGGTTGCAAACCCAAAAAGCCCTTGAAAAAAACTACCAGGAGTGTCAATCCCCTGTTAATGCTTCAGCAGCTCCTGAGAACAAGTCAGGGAACAAACCTCTGCTGCTGGGGAAGGTCCCTCTGCAAGGACCTCCTGTCATCAGACCCAACCTCCCAAGCCCTTTCAGCTTCCTTTGGATGGAGCAGAATCACAGAATTGTGACCTTTAAGATCATTGAGCCCAACTATGACCAAACTCTACCAACCATTAACCCAACTCCACCAAGCCCAGTGCTCACCCGTGTCCCTCAGCTCCACATCTACAGGGCTTGGAAACCCCTCCAGGGATGGGGATCCCACCACCTCCCTGGGCAGCCTGGGCCAGGGTTTCATGACCCTTTCAGGGAAGAAGTTTCTTCTAATCTCCAACCTCAACCTCCCCTGGTGCAACTTGGGGCCATCTCCTCTTGTCCCATCCCTTGTTCCTGGGGAGCAGAGCCCGACCTCCCTGGCTCCAACCTCCTCTCAGCAGCTGCAGAGCCAGCAGGTCTCCCCTCAGCTCCTTGTCTCCAGGCTGGACACCCCCAGCTCCCTCAGCTGCTCCTCACAAGTTCTCCAGCCCCTTCTCCTTGTGCTCCAGCCCCTTCAAAACTCACCCAAACCAGCACTTGGAGCTGCACAACATCAATCTCTATCATGGTTGAGGCCAATCCATGCTGGCTCTGCCTTGTAGCTAAAGCAGGGGTCACAGGAATGGGTTTCTTCTAGTTTCAGACCCAGGGCTGCCACCAGATGTGCCTGGCACATGAACAGTGTCCCACAGAAGAGCCCTGTGCTCACCCATAGGGTCCCATTTCCAGGATATCCCCCTTTCTAAACACCAAAGAACCATTTAGAACCTCCTAAGGTTTCCAAGGCAAGAAGAATCAGCCAAGGTGTGGGCACCTTCTGGTTGCAAACCCAAAAAGCCCTTGAAAAAAACTACCAGGAGTGTCAATCCCCTGTTAATGCTTCAGCAGCTCCTGAGAACAAGTCAGGGAACAAACCTCTGCTGCTGGGGAAGGTCCCTCTGCAAGGACCTCCTGTCATCAGACCCAACCTCCCAAGCCCTTTCAGCTTCCTTTGGATGGAGCAGAATCACAGAATTGTGACCTTTAAGATCATTGAGCCCAACTATGACCAAACTCTACCAACCATTAACCCAACTCCACCAAGCCCAGAGCTTAACCCATGTCCCTCAGCTCCACATCTACAGGGCTTGGAAACCCCTCCAGGGATGGGGGTCCCACCACCTCCCTGGGGAGCCTGGGCCAGGGTTTAGTGACCCTTTCATGGAGGAAGGTTCTCCCAAGATCCAATCTAAACCTCCCCTGGTGCAACTTGAGCTCATCTCTTGTCCCATCCCTTGTTCCTGGGGAGCAGAGCCCGACCCCCCTGGCTCCAACCTCCTCTCAGCAGCTGCAGAGCCAGCAGGTCTCCCCTCAGCTCCTTGTCTCCAGGCTGGACACCCCCAGCTCCCTCAGCTGCTCCTCACAAGTTCTCCAGCCCCTTCTCCTTGTGCTCCAGCCCCTTCCCCAAGGAGCAGCCACACTTTCCAACCAACAGCACTTGCCAGGAAACAGTGGAAAACTACCTGCAGTTCACCCACTGCTGGGGATCACCCTGGGAACCTGCCAGGCAAGTGGGGAAACTGCTGCTCCTGCTTGGAGCAGCTCCAAGCTGAATGATGGCCCAGAAGGTCCAGGCAAAGAGCCAACCCAGAGCTCTCTGCACCACAGCTGAGAAGGAGCTGGGGGGAAAGCAGCACTTTGGGCAGCAGGGATGTCCTGCAGCAGCACGAGTGACCTTGGGAAGGGAGAGCAGCAGCTTCGTTAGGCAGGGAGGGTAACGAGGTGGGGGAGGCACCACTTCAACACTCACAGGATCCTATCAGAGAATCCCAGGCTGGTTTCTGATTTGAAAGGGACCTTCAAGATCATCCAGTCCCAACCCCCTGCATGGGCAGGGACACCTCCCAGCAGCCCAGGCTGCTCCAAGCCCCATCCAACCTGCCCTTCAACACTGCCAGGGATGGGGCAGCCACAGCTTCCCTGGGCAACCTGGGCCAGGCTCTCACCACCCTCACACCAAACAATTTCCTCCTCATGTCTCACCTCAATCTCCCTCCTCCAGTTTTCATCCCTTCCCCCTTGTCCTCTCCCTCCCTGCCCTTGTCCCAAGTCCCTCCCCAGCTTTCCTGGAGCCCCTTCAGGCACTGGAAGCTGCTCTAAGGTCTCCCTGGAGCCTTCTCTTCTCCAGGCTGAACACCCCAACTCTCCCAGCCTGGCTCCAGAGCTGCCCCAGCCCTGGGATCATCTCTGTGGCCTCCTCTGGACTCTCTCCAAAGGACACACATCCAAGCACTGCCCTCAACTTCTGCTGCTTTCTGACACTGTTCCTTGCCCACAGAATGCCCCTCTGGTCCTTATCCCTCTTCCTTCCTTTGCAGCTCCACCAACCTGCTCACTTCCATGCCCAAGCACTGAGAGTTTTCCTCCATGAAGGATGGAATCCAGAGCTCCAAGCCTCCCAGAGAGTGGGATTCAGCTTGACCTGGTGTGTGGGCATCTCAGAGGGGTTCCAAAAGAAACAGCTTGAGTGGTGAGGCTGGGGAACAGGAGATAAGGGCTGGACAGGGATCCTTGGAGCAAAGGGAAGACCAAGCAAGGAGGGACATGACACCTCAGAGGAAAGTGGACTGGAAAGGGAGAAAAAGGGGATGCTGGGGCACCATCAGCTGGGTTGCAAAGGAGCCACCATCCAAAACTGCACCAAAATGGGGCAGGGACAAACCTAGGGATCCTCTTGCCCTGAGACATCAGGTCTGCATGGAGCTGAAAACTGCACCAAAATGGGGCAGGGACAAACCCAGGGTTCTTCCCCTGAGACATCAGGTCTGCATGGAGCTTGGGGAGGAGAAGGACCTGGTGGGCACTGGGAGCCAGGGCACCAGGGGGGAAAGCAGGACCATTGCATCTGCTTGAGGGGCAGCCAAAGGACATGGACAGCTCTTGCCTTCCTCAGGAACCTCCCAAGGTTGCCTTCCTCAGGGCCACCACCCAAGCAACCCCCTTTTCCACCTGTGATGAGCACATCTTCACCAGTGGGACCTGCCCTTGCCCAAGGAGAAAGCTGCTTACACAACAACACCCCGTGACCAACCTGGGGGAGGGACAGAGGAGAATAAATGATTGGCTGGTGAAATGTTCCCTCTTGATTTCCAAAACAAGCAGCACTTTCCCTCCAAACACAAAGCCCATGTCCATGGTTGCTCTGCTGAGGTCAGACCTGCTCATCACTCTCTCTCTTGCCAAGGAACCACCTTCTTCTTCTTCTTCTTCTTCCATTTCCCTTCCCTGCCTGGGATAAAATCAACTGCACTTTCATGTCTCTGCTACCTTGACCTGGCAGCTCCACCAGCAGCAGCAGCAGCTCCACAGCTCTCCTGCCTGCACCTCCACATCCCACCAGCCCATGGTGAGGACCAGCTGGGCCAGTTCCAGCTGTGGTGCTGAGAAAGGAGCTTGGTCTCTTGTCATCAGCCTTTTTTTCTCCTTCAATTCTCCCCTTGAGCCCAGTGAGGATCATCTCTTGGAGTGACAGCAGCCCATGGGAGTGGGGTGCAGAGCTCCTGCACCAGCCCCTTCCTGCCTGCAGGCAGGAGGCACCACAAGAGCCAGGAGAACATCTCACCAGCAGGAGAGATGATGCTGAAGCTGCTGCCACCTATTTTGGAGGGATCCTTTGCAAGAGGAGTTTCAAAACCCACCCCCTTCTGGCTGCAGAATCACCCAGCCCTCAACCATCTCCAAAGCCATTTGGAGGGCTCAGGTGGGACATCCCAGCCCATCTGCTGCTGATACCATCACACCCATGGGCCAAGGGGAGAAGGAGCAGCTGGTAGGAAAGAGTCACTGCAGCTGCTGGGTGCCCAGGTTGGGCAGCAGGCATCTCCACACCTTCCTCCAGTCAAAGCTCTTCCAGCATGAGGAGATACATGAAATCCTGGGGTCCTCAGAGATGTCAAAGGTCCACAAAAGGAACCTGCTCCAGTCAAAGCCCTTCCAGCATGAGGAGACACATGAAACCCTGGGGTCCCCAGAGATGTCAAAGGTCCACAAAAGGAACCTCAACCAGCAGGACAAAGGTGCCTCCATCCCAGGGGGACCCAAGACTTTCAGAGCCCAACTGGGCACAGGAGGTTGGGTCCTTTCTCCTCACACTTCATCTGCTGCTCTTGCAAGGTCCAAAGTGGAGTCCAGGTTAAAGTCTTGGTTCTTAGCCTTGGCTCTGACCCTAAGACCTCAGACAACACCTTTTTGAGCTCTTTTTCCACCATGAAATGAGGCAGGGGGGGGCTGAGCACCCTGAGATGCCCACGGATGAACCCCCCAAGCTCCTCCAACCCTCCTCACCTGATGGTCAAGGTGACAGGCTCAGGGCATCCTTGCACTCTGAACCCAAACTCCTCTGTGAACTGTCCCAGGAGGCTGGAGCTGAAGGAGACCTGGATGGCCTGGAGCTCCTGGGGCAAAATGACACCTTCATCAGGCAGGAAGGAGAAGCAGGAGCCCAGAGCTGTAGCTGGAGGGATCAAGCTGAAGAGAGCATGGACGGCTCCTTTGTTGAACAGGATCACCTGCAGGAGGAGGAAGGCAAGGTGTGAACCCCCCAGGAACCTTCCCTTGCTGGTTTGGCTCCCAGTGAAACCATTGCCAGCGGGCAGAGGGAGATGCTGCTGCTCCTGGGGGAGAAGCCAAAGAAAACACACCAGGATGGGGGCTCCTTGGGCTGCTTTAACCCTGCAAAGCAGTGCTAGCCTCCCAGAACCAGTGCTGGCCTCCCAGAACCAGTGCCAACCTCACAAAACCAGTGCCAGCCTCACAAAATCAGTGCCAACCTCACAGAACCAGTGCCAGCCTCACACAATCAGTGCCAACCTCACAGAACCAGTGCCAGCCTCACACAATCAGTGCCAACCTCACAGAACCAGTGCCAGCCTCACACAATCAGTGCCAACCTCACAGAACCAGTGCCAGCCTCACACAATCAGTGCCAACCTCACAGAACCAGTGCCAGCCTCACACAATCAGTGCCAACCTCACAGAACCAGTGCCAGCCTCACACAATCAGTGCCAACCTCACAGAACCAGTGCCAGCCTCACACAATCAGTGCCAACCTCACAGAACCAGTGCCAGCCTCACACAATCAGTGCCAACCTCACAGAACCAGTGCCAGCCTCACACAATCAGTGCCAACCTCACAGAACCAGTGCCAGCCTCACACAATCAGTGCCAACCTCACAGAACCAGTGCCAGCCTCACACAATCAGTGCCAACCTCACAGAACCAGTGCCAGCCTCACACAATCAGTGCCAACCTCACAGAACCAGTGCCAGCCTCACACAATCAGTGCCAACCTCACAGAACCAGTGCCAGCCTCACACAATCAGTGCCAACCTCACAGAACCAGTGCCAGCCTCACACAATCAGTGCCAACCTCACAGAACCAGTGCCAGCCTCACACAATCAGTGCCAACCTCACAGAACCAGTGCCAGCCTCACACAATCAGTGCCAACCTCACAGAACCAGTGCCAGCCTCACACAATCAGTGCCAACCTCACAGAACCAGTGCCAGCCTCACACAATCAGTGCCAACCTCACAGAACCAGTGCCAGCCTCACACAATCAGTGCCAACCTCACAGAACCAGTGCCAGCCTCACACAATCAGTGCCAACCTCACAGAACCAGTGCCAGCCTCACACAATCAGTGCCAACCTCACAGAACCAGTGCCAGCCTCACAAAAACAGTGCCAAACTCACAGAACCAGTGCCATCCTCACAATACCAGTACCAACCTCATAAAACCAGTGCCAACCTCATAAAACCAGTGCCATTGTCACAGAACCCAACCTCACAAAACCAGTGCCAAACTCACAGAACCAGTACCAACCTCACAAAACCAGTGCCAACCTCACCAAACCAGTGCCAACCTCACAGAACCAGTGCCAACCTCACAAAACCAGTGCCACCCTCATAGAACCAGGGCCAACCTCACAAAACCAGTGCCAAACTCACAGAACCTGTGCCAACCTCATAAAACCAGTACCAACCTCATAAAACCAGTGCCAACCTCATAAAACCAGTGCCATTGTCACAGAACCAGTGCCAGCTTCACCAAACCAGTACCAACCTCACAGAACCAGTGCCAACCTCATAAAACCAGTTCCAGCCTCATAAACTCAGTAACAAACTCACCAAACCAGTCCTAACCTCCCAGAACCAGTGCCAACCTCACAAAACCAGTGCCAGCCTCACAATACCAGTACCAGCCTCACAGAACCAGCTGACACTGTTTGGGGGGGGAGGGCAAATCTGTAGGAAGTTCCTTTGCTTCCCAGCCAGGACATGGTTGGTTCTGGGGAGGTGGGTCCAGCCTGGAGGGTGGGAGGAGGTTTTTTTGAGGCTCCCAAATGAGCCAAGAGGGTCAGGGCTGAGCCAAGAGGGGCTTGGGATTGGTTTGGGATGCACTTGGGGGTTTGGGATGGGGTGGAGGTGAAGGTTCCAGCTGCTTTGGAAGAGCCAGAGGAGGAAGGGGAGTTTATCTAAGACCAAGATCTGCTTCTCTTCTTGACCCAGTGTTGGTTCTGTGGGTGGGTTTTTGCAGGGAGCCCCCCAGCTGCTCTCAAAGGAGGCAGCCAACAAGAGTTTGGGGCTTCATGAACACCACCCACACCTTCCAGACATCATCAGGTGGCCCCAGATCCCTTGTGACATCAAACCTTCCCCTGCTCCCAACTGCCTGAGGAGCCAGAAATCCCACATGGAGCCCTCAGGAACCAGCCCAACCTCTGGAAACCCTTCCTGCTCACCTCGTAGCTGTGGGCTGATCCAACAAAAACCTTCCCAATGTCCAGCTGGTCAAAGCTGAAGCAGAGCTGGGGTCCTACACCTTCTCCTGTGACACGCAGGGGCAGCCTGGTCTCACGGCCTGGGGAGACATTCCCATGTCAGTGCAATCATCCCCTCTCAGCCTGGATTTTCCAGGCTGCCCCAAATGCTGCTCCCTGGCTCTTGGGCTGGGTGGGACCAGCTGGAGATGCTCCAGGAGGAGGTTGTTTCTCTTCCATCAGGAGATGTGGCTTTGGGTTGGTTTCTAACTTCAAACCAACCTTTGGGCTGGTTTGCAACTCAGTGATCAGTTCATACTCTAAAAGAAGTGAGGCCTGAGCTCTGAATTTCTTCCTGTGGGCTCAGATGAGCTCTGAAATCCCCCCAGTGAAGGCACAGAGCTCATGGGATAGAAGAGAAAAAGATCCCATCTCTCCTGACATGATCAGAGAGCACCAGAGCTGAGCCCAAGGAAGGAGAAGCTCCTTGCTCATGGCAATCACAGAGTCCTGGGAAAGGTTTGGGTTGGAAGGGACCTTCAAGATCCTCTAGATCCAACCTCCTGCATGGGCAGGGACACCTCCCACCAGCCCAGGTTGCTCCAAGCCCCATCCAACCTGCCCTTCAACACTGCCAGGGATGGGGCAGCCACAGCTTCCCTGGGCAACCTGGGCCAGGCTCTCACCACCCTCACACCAAACAATTTCCTCCTCATGTCTCACCTCAATCTCCCTCTTCCAGTTTTAATCCCTTCCCCCTTGTCCTCTCCCTCCCTGCCCTTGTCCCAAGTCCCTCCCCAGCTTTCCTGGAGCCCCTTCAGGCACTGGAAGGTGCTCTAAGGTCTCCCTGGAGCCTTCTCTTCTCCAGGCTGAACACCCCAACTCTCCCAGCCTGGCTCCAGAGCTGCTCTAGCCCTCCCATCATCTCCATGGCCTCCTCTGGACTCTCTCCACAGGACACACACCCAAGCACTGTCCTCAACTTCTGCTGCTTCCTGACACTGTTCCTTGCTCACAGAATGCCCCCCTGTTCTGTGACTGCTTTTGAACATGATCCTCATCTGACCAAGCCAACGGAGAGATCCAGTTTCCCCTGATGCAGGACAGGACAAGGTAGAGGAGTGAGGACCACTTGGGATTTGGCTTCTCCCAGCCAGAGGGGCTTAGAAATGGCCTTTGGAAGAAACCAGATGCAGCCAAATCCATTTCTACATGCAGGAAAAAGAAATGAAAGCAGAATTTCAGGTGTCCCCCACCCCCTGTGCTCCCCTCCAGCCCTCAAGAGCCTCAGCTTTATTTGCATGAATAACTAAGAAAGTTCATTTTCACCTGAAATATTTGCCAAGAACAAATTTCAGGCCCCTTCTGAACTGCCAGCTTTGCAAGCTGCCCAGTGCTGAGGAGTTCAGGAAATCACTTGGATGCAGAAGCATCTGCTCAGTGCTTTGTGGAGGCACCTGCAGCACAAGTGGAGGCCAACAAAGCTCCTTGCCAGAGGGGTGTGAGATGCAGCTGCCCCATCCCTGGCAGTGTTGAAGGGCAGGTTGGATGGGGCTTGGAGCAGCCTGGGCTGGTGGGAGGTGTCCCTGCCCATGCAGGGGGTTGGAACTAGATGATCTTGAAGGTCCCTTCCAACCCAAACCAGTCTGGGATTTGATGATAAGAAGAACTTGGACTCTGGGGCAACTTCCACCCTGAGAATACAGTGGATCCACTCTGTTTGGTCAGGGATGGGTGCAGCATTTAAGTGACCTCCTTGAGGTCTTCTTGCAGGAAGGCAGTGGATGTGAAGGTCTCCTGAGGGCCCCCCAGGGTCCCTCATAAGCAGGGTCCTCTCTCCAAACACAGACCCTTTGCCCAGCTCTCTTCCCTCTCACTCCCAGACCAGCTCAAGGGTCGAATCCAAGCACTTTTCCTGTTCCTCTGCAATGGAAAAGCTCTCCTGGCACAACTCCTGGACACCCCTGCAGTGAAGTGATGGACACCAAGGCAGAAAATCCCCCAAGCCAGGAGCACAGCACTGAGTGAGGAACCCCTTGGGGGCAACTTTTGAACTCAATCCTTTCCCTTCTCCTGCTCTAACCAGTGCAGTTGGTGGGCAGGAAGGACAACTTGTTAACACCAACCCTGGGTAATTACTGGGGGTGGCATTTGCCAAGGAAACCCTGGGCAATTACTGGAGAAATAAAAAGCTGTTCCATGACATTTGTGTCCAGCTGCTTGGAGCAGCAAGGGAAGCACCAGAGCAGCTGGATGAGGGATCCCAGCACTTTCCACAACAGCAGCTTGGCTGCTGGAGGAGCAGAGAAACACAGAGTGCTCAGGGTTGGAAGGGACCTCTGGAGATCATCCAGTCCAACCATCCCCTAGAGCAGATCCCACAGGAACACATCCAGACAGGTCTGGAATGTCTCCAGGGATAGAGACTCCACCACCTCCCTGGGCAGCCTGTCCCAGGGCTCTGTCACTCTCAGAGCAAAGAAGTATTTTCTCATATTCAGGTTCAACCTCCTGTGCTCCAGTGTGTGCCCATTGCCCCTTGTCCTGTCACTGGACACCCCTGAGAAGAGTCTGGCCCATCCTCCTGACACCCCCTGGAGATATTGATCAGCACTGATCAGATCCCCCCTCAGGCTCCTCCTCTCCAGCTGAACAGCCCCAGCTCTCCCAGCCTTTCCTCACAGGCAGATGCTCCAGTTCCCCCAGCATCTCAGTCCCCTGGGCTGGACTCTCTCCAGCAGCTCCTTCTCCATGAACTGGGATCTCAGAACTGGGCACAACACCCAGACGTGGCCTCCCCAGAGCAGAGGGGCAAGAGAACCTCCTTGAACTCCTGCCCACACTCTTCTCCATGTCCCCCCAGGATGGAATTGGCCTTCTTGACTGTGAGGGCACCATGGTCACCCCACTGTCCACCAGGTCTTTTTATTCCATGGGTGGCAAACAAGGTGGAAACCAGAGAAGCATCAAAACACCTGAAGCAGCAGCAGGCAGAGGAAGGACAAGGGAACCCAACCCAGCATCCCCTGCCAGCACAGCAAAGCCAGCACCTCTGGAAGGGCAAAGATGGGATCAAACCTGGGTGGGGTGAAGGAAAAGTGACAGGAGGGGCAGCTTGCCTGGCAGTGGTACCCAGGGAGGGTGAGCACCCTGCTGAGCACAGCAAGCCCTGTGCAAAGGCACCTGGAGCCACCACACAGCCCAGGAGCCCCAAGGTGACCATTCCCACAGGAGGAGCCCATGGTGGCCAGAAGGGGGGGTCCCTTCAAGCCACCCCAGCTCAGCCACCCAAAGGTCTGGCAGCATCTGGGTGGTGGGAGGTGATGCAGGGGCTGGGAGCACATCTGGAGCTCAGCTCCTACCACCTGATGGTTCATCTTGGGAGGGAAAAGTGCTGAGTGCTCATCCTCCCCCCCCTGCTCTGCAGCCCTTCAGGCACCTCCCAGCAGAGCAAATGCTGCCCAAGCCATGGGAACTCATCCCTGCCTTCTTCTGGGATCAGCAATCCAGGCATCCTGAAGCCCTAGACATGGGCAGGGAGAGCACCTGGAAACCACGAGGGTAATGCCAGCACTGCCCTGCCCTCCCTGCAGGGAACAGGAGAGGAAGGGGTTGTACCTGAGATGTCACAGTAGATGGTTTGCTGATAGACTCTGGCTTCTTGAGGTTTGAAGATCACCTGGATTTCAGCTGAGGAATGTGGCCAGACATCCCCCTCCTGAAACAGAAGCAGCCAGCAAGTCATTTATCCTCCAGCATCACCTTCCTTGCTCCCAACCACAGCCCTGCTGCCTCTATTTGGAGCAGCAAAGAGCCAGGAGCAAATAAACACCAACAAAATGAGGAGTTTGAAAGCAGCTGCAAAAAAAAACCCCAACAAAACACCCTAAAAATATTAAAACCACCATTTTTTCAGTTCCTTTGCTGGCATCTGGGAGAGAAATTGTGTGAAATTCAGGCTACAGTGAAGCAACCAGACTCACAGCCCAACAAAGCAAATTCTTCCTGCACCTCCCTGGGTCTCCATTTTCAGGCAGATCAGGAAAGATTTAGCAAATGGGGTTTTTTTTATTCTTGGTTATGGAGGTGCTGCCTCTCACAGCCCTCCTGTGTGTCACACTCTGGGGACACTCCCAGGGCCCAGCAGAACAAGCCCCCCTGCCTGGGGACCAGGGAGGAAGGGGCTCTGGTGGCTGCTCCTGGGCTGGGAGCACAAAGGTTACACAGGAGCTCCAAGAGTGAAGCTGAGAGTCAGATGCATCTTGTTCCCCTCTGCACCCACCCCTGGTGCCCTGACCACGGGCTCAGACAAGGAGGGAAGGGAATTGCTTAGTTCTACACCTCTCTCAACCAAATGTAGAACCATCAAGGTTGGAAGGGACCTTAAAGTTCAAGCTCCAACCCCCCTGCCATGAGCAGGAACCACCAGACCAGGTTGCACAAAACCTCAATCCCACCTGGCCTTGAAAACCTCCAGGGATGGGGCATCAACCACCTCCCTGGGCAGCTCATCTCAACTGAACCAGCTCTTCTTCTCCATGTCCTGCTCAGAGGTGGAAGCCTGGGCCATCCTCCCAGCCTGTCTGCAACCACCTGCTGCTTCTTCAGGGCCTTCTCTCCCACTGAGTCCTGGTGCTCAGCCCCAGGGAGCCTTGGCACCCACATTTTTTGGAGGCACTCCTCACTTGCAACTGCTTTAAACCAAGGCACCACTCACATCCCCTCAACTCCCACCCCAAACCTCTTTGCTGACACAAATATCTGCACCTCTGACACCCCCCCAGGAACACAAAATGCAGCTGCTGGAAGGAGGCAAAGAGAACAGGGTTGTTTTTCTCTCAGCCAAGTGAGACTGGGTTCCTTGCTTGCTCCTGGGCATCCTCAGAACTTGGTCCAGAAGAACCTTGAAGTGACTGGAGCCTCTGGCACTCCTGAGATGTAAATATTCACCAACCACAGTGCTTCCCATCAGCTCAGAGCTTCCAGCTCCAAGGACAGTCCCCACAAAGATTCAAGAGCTGTGACACTGACTTATTGGGCTGCAGCTGCAAAGGAGCTGCTCATTCCAGAGGCTGCTCAGAGTCAACAGGGCAAAGAACAGAGAACAACAGCTCCAAGTACCACCCCAACCTCCACCTTCCAGTCAGGAAGAATCAAGTCACTTGGATCCCTCTCTAAATGTTGCCCAGATCAGATGTACTTGCTGTGTCCCTGCAGGAAGCAATGGGATGGAAACCAAGGCTTGAGGAAGCAAAGGGGGGGACACCAGCCTGCAACCCACAGCCAGCACCTTGGGGACCTGAGCCTTTGGGTGCCACAGGGGTGCTCCCTGCACTGAGCACCCCTGGAATTACCCTGGATTTGGCACAGAGGGTGCTCTGAAGAGCAGAAGCTCTGCCCCAGTGCCTGGAGCTTGTCTCAGCTGAGCCACTGAGAAAACACACTTGGAGAATAGATTTTTCATGGCTTGGCTAATTAAGAGACTAATAACTCTCCAGTGCTCATCACCCAGCTGCTTGTTGGGTGCTTGACAGGCTGGATTCAGTGGTTCCCCCCTGGGCAGAGGAGCCCTGGGCAGGGGGGGGCACCAGGCAGCTGCTGCTTCTGCTCCCAGCCCTCCAGCCCCAGCTGAACACACCAGAGCTCTGCACTTCTCCTTCCCACAACCATTCAGGTTGGGAAGAGACTCCTAAGACCACAGAATCCAACCCCACCAGGGCCACTCAACCACCTCCTCAAGTGCCACATTGAACCCCCTCCAGGGATGGTGACTCCCTGGGCAGCCTGAGCCAGGACTTTGACCAACACTTTCCAGGAATTGTTCCTACTGTCCAGGAACTTCAGAGGCTGCTCCATGGGATGAGCTGCCCAGAGGGACTGTGGGATCCTCCTGTTTGATCTTCCAGCTGCTGGGGTTCTCTGCCCAGGGGGTTCTCCTGGGGGTTCTTGCACAGCAGATGGTGCCTCCCCAGACTCAAGGCAGTGGTGATGCTGGAGCTCTTCTTCTTAGGGGGGCATAAAGCACAGGGGGATCACCCCCCCTGAGCCTGAACCCCAAAATATAGGGGGGTGCAGTGAAAGGGCTTGGGACAAGGAGTGAGAGGACAAGGGGGAAGGGATTAAAACTGTGAGATTGAGGTGAGACAGGGGGAGGGAATTGTTTGGTGTGAGGGTGGTGAGAGCCTGGCCCAGGTTGCCCAGAGAAGCTGTGGCTGCCCCATCCCTGGCAGTGTTGAAGGGCAGGTTGGATGGGGCTTGGAGCAACCTGGGCTGGTGGGAGGTGTCCCTGCCTGTGCAGGGGGTTGGAACTGGATGATCTTGAAGGTCCCTTCCAACCCAAACCAGTCTGGGATTCTGTGACACAATCCCATGAAAGGGAGGGAGTTCAGCAACCAGTGGGAAGGAAATGAGCCCAATTGCAGAACAGCCCAAGGACAAGTCTCCTTTGGCTCTGTAGAGCCTAAGATGCCAGAAAAAAACAGGGAGAAGCTACCAGACCTGCAGCAGAGGAGCTGGGGGTAAAACCTGCTGGAGGATTTGCCTGCAGAGCCAAAGGATTCCTGGGAAGCTCAGGGAACATCCTTCCTCCCACCAAAGGCCAGAAAACAAACTTCTTGGAGCCTAACACAGCAGTTGATCACTCTTCCAGGTCAATTATCTAACAGGGTTTGCTGCTCCCTTCTGCTGGGTGGCAGCTGGTGGCCCCCCCTGGGCTGCTTTATGTGCCACAACCAGATAGATTGGCCCTGGGGAGCCTCTGGGGCACTTTGGTGATGGCTCAGAGGTTGACAGAGGCCATAGATCTCCTGCTCATGGGAGCAAGAGGAAGACAATTCCTAAGCAAAAAATGAAGCTGAGCAGGAAAGGAAGGAAATGAAGAAGAACCACTGGGCTGATGAATATGTATCTGCTCTCAATAGTTTTCTAGCCCAGTGAGTTTAGCTGAGCTGGGGATTCCATGGGTTCCAAGGCCAGCACAAGTGTGGCAGAAATATCATGGGCACAGTGACCTGAGCCCACTGGTTTGGAGCACAGCAAGAGGTCCTGGAGCCCCTGGGACCACAGCAGGGAGGAGGGGACAGAAAATAATGCATGTTCTAAAGCAAAATCTTCCAGTAAATTCCACTTGCCCACCTTCCAGCCCCCAGAAACAGGAGCAGCAAAGGCTTCCAGCCACCTCAGAGTCCACCCAGGCTGCTGGGGTGTTCCCAGGGCTTCTCTCAGGGCAGCAAAACCCTTCCTGGCCCTCCCAGTCACCTCCAGTTCCTCCCAGGAGGTCCCAGTGCAGAGAGAAGGAATAAGGGCTGAATCTTCAAGGCCTAAATGCCCCCAAGAGTTGAGGACAGACGTGGGAGGGTTCACACCACCCAGTCCTCATCTCATTTGGACCATCCCCAGGGAGCCTCAAGCCACAGAACCTCCAGCTCCTTGAAGGCAGGGAGGCTGCACAATGTCCCTCCTCCCCACCATGGGACCTGGTCCCCATTCCCTGGGGAATGTTCTCCAACCCTCCTTGTCTGCCTTCACCTCTGCAGAAGATGCTTGGAAAGCAGCAAGCAAATGAAGGCAGGACCCTGGCTACCCCAGCCAGGGCTCCCTGGCCCAAGGCTCCTTAGGGCCAAGCAGGCACAGAAGGCAGGAGAGCAACACCAGGGCTCTGCAATCTGTGCTGGGATGTGAGACAGGGGCCCATGACACAAAGCTCTAGCTGGCCTGGCCTCCTCCCACTCCTGTAAGGGGGAGCAGAGCTGGCAGGGTATCCACCCAGCTCTGGAATTTGACCCTGCTGCAAGCCAGCCCCAACTGAACAGCAACATGGGCAACTTCCATGGCACCCAAACCCTCCAGTTTCAGCAGGAACCTGGGATGACCCTGCAAGGTGACATTTCCAAAAGAGAAGAGGACTGGCAGGGAGTCCCTGCAGGCATTCCCCCAATGGTGGGACATTCTGCTCAACACCAAGACCACAGGGACTGCTGGAATGCTGCTGGCATCCCTCCCAGATGATCAACCAGGGCAGGAGGGAGCCCAGAGCTTTGGGCCCATGTCCTCTCTCTTTCCACAACCTAAAGGGATGAGGGTGCAGCACACAGGTCCCATCACCAGGGCTGAGGTCTTGCCATGCTCCAGGAAACCCCTCCGTGCTGCACCAAGAGAAGGGACAGATCTCCAACCAGCTGAGGAGCTGCTGGACCCCATGGCACAGTCAGCTGGGAGGCACCAGGGGAAACAAACCTAGGGGTCAGCAAGAATACCCATCCTCTTATGTGCACCACCCCAGAACCATCCCAGAATCACCCCAAAACCATCCCAGAACCACCCCAGAATCACCTGGGTTGAAAAACACCTTCAAGATCAATTCCAACCATCAACCCAACACTGACAACCATGTCCCTAAGTTCTATGTCTACATGACTCTGACATCCCTCCAGGGATGGTGACTCCACCACCCTGGGCAGCCTGTCCCAATGCCTGATGACCCTTTCAGGGAGGAAACAAGGTCTCCAACATCCTCATGACCCTTTCAGGAAAGAAACAAGGTCTCCAACAACCTCACGACCCTTTCAGGGAAGAAACAAGGTCTCCAAGAACCTCATGACCCTTTCAGGGAAGAAACAAGGTCTCCAACATCCTCATGACCCTTTCAGGGAAGAAACAGGTCTCCAACAACCCTGGGGCAGCATCACTGCTGGAGCCTGGCACTCATGTCCCCACTCCCCAGAGATCTTACCCCAGGAGGTGCCTCAGCCTCTTGAGCTGGGCTGTGAAACCACCATCCCCAGGATCTGATGGATCAGACACCTTGGCAGCCCCTCCACAGGGAACTTCCCCTGCAGTGAAGCAGCCCAACTGTTGGACTCCAAAGGTGGAGAGAGCAAGAAGAAAGAAACAGTTCCATTTCATCCTACTATTCTGTGGCTAAACCCAATGATTTCAGGCCACAATTATTCTGGGACTTGTGGGTCATTTCTCCCTTCATTACCTGCTGTGTGTCAGACTAGGAAACTAGAATAATATTGAGTTATTTCTCCTGGGAAATTAATATAAGGCTGTTGAAGAGGTTCCTGCAGGGGGGGGGGGAAAGAAGTGGTGGTTAAAAGGATGTGCTTCATTACCCACCCTTGTGGGAACTGTGTCTGAGGACACCTCAGGAACCAGGGGTGCCCTGTTCTCCTCAGTGGAGTCAGGGCATGGAAAACTACCAGGGCTGCTGAGCAGAGCAGCAGTAAAACATCCCCCAGCCCTGTGAAGGTGGCATTGCAGCACTTCTCCTGGCAGTGCCAGGCTGCAGCTGGCAGGGGGCACAGAGGATGGAGAGGCAGCACAGAACATCCAGCTGGTGGACATGAAGAACATGTTGTAAGGACATGAAGCCAAGTGATCCAGGAGAGCACAGCCTCACAGTGAGCTCTGTGCAAGGGCTGCAGTGGGAATAGCTGCAGATCTTCTTGTTCCTCCTCCCTCAGGAAGGAGCAGCTGCTGGATCCCACCAGCACCAGGAAGGAGAAGCCAGGCTGGAAGAGCTGGGCACCACCAGCTGGTGGTCAAACCCTCCAGGCTTTGTTTGGCAGGGGGGGAAGGTGATCCCAGGAAGGGGAATCCCTGCTGAGAGCAGAAAATCAGTGAGGGGGCAAGAGAAGTGCTGAAATGACCTCCCCCCCCCAAAGTGCATCCTGCTGGTCCAGGGCACTGAGGAGCAAAAAGGTCCCAGGTGCCTCTTGCCAGGAATCACTGAAGGCCCAGGGAGCTGTGGGATGGGGGGCACAGCTCCCACTGGAGATGGTGCCTTCTGCCCAAACCTGTGCCCTGGGGTGACCCCTCTTTTGGATGGGGATCAGCCTGGCTCCCCAGCTTCTCAGGAACCTGCCACCTCCTGGATCCACAGCAGCAACAGCTTCACCACCTGAGCATCCTGAAGCCCTGCCCAGGCTCTGAGTGAGCCCATGACACTGAGGAGGGTGGGGATGGCTCCTCAAGGTCCCTGCAATGGTGACAAATCCTTGTCTTCCCTCTGCTCTGGTTTCCTTTCCCAAGGAGTCAGCTCCCCCAGGATGACTCCCAGCAAAGCTGGGGTGGGGAGGAGGCAGCAAAACAAAGCAAGGACCTTGTCCCTTTGGTAGCCACCAAGGACCTTGTCCCTTTGGTAGCCACCTGGGCTTCCAGCCCAGCTGCTGCTGCTGCTGACAGGTCATGTGTGTTTGCAAAAAGAAATGCAACCAAACTGGAGCTGTGCTGGGAAGTCAGGGTTGCATAACAGCTTGTTTCCCACAGGCTTGGAAGGCTGTTCATGGTCACGTGGCAATTCCAAAATCCAAAACCTGCTCCTCTTGGCTGCTTTGGGGTTGGTTTTTTTTTCATCAGGGAGTTAACCCTGGACAACCTGAACTAACCTGCTGCAGCTTCTGCAGGGACAGCTGGGAACACCAGCAGGGAATGGTGCAGGGAGCCAGCAAAGCTCCTGCACAAACCCCCTGCCAAGCCACCCTGCCCAGAAAGCCTTCCCAGGAGTGTCCCTCCACCAGCTTCCCAACCTCTGGAAGCAATTCCACCCTCTAGTCACCTGCTACAAGGGTTGGATTATCTTTTATCTAGGGGTAGATGGGAGGAGAGAAGCCACCTCAGGCCAGAAGATCCATGACCCCAGCAAGGTCCCAGCTCTGAGGGGCCTTTCCCAGCAGATTGACATGGCAAGAAGGGTTGTCTGCCCAAGCTGAAGGTTATGGGGCCACCACTGGAGAGAAGGTTATGGGGCCACCACTGGAGAGAAGGCTATGGGGCCCCCACTGCAGAGGAGAAGGTTATGGGGCCACCACTGCAGAGAAGGTTATGGGGCCACCACTAGAGAGAAGGTTATGGGGCCACCACTAGAGAGAAGGTTATGGGGCCACCACTAGAGAGAAGGTTATGGGGCCACCACTAGAGAGAAGGAAGGTTATGGGGCCACCACTGGAAAGCAGGTTATGGAGCCACCACTGCAGAGAAGGTTATGGGGCCACTACTGGAGAGAAGGTTATGGGGCCACTACTGGAGAGAAGGTTATGGGGCCACCACTGCAGAGAAGGTTATGGGGCCACCACTGGAGAGAAGGTTAAGGAAACCAGCAGCAGTGGGTGTTTAGATCCTACATGTGCTGAAGAAAAAGCCATCACTTGTTTTGAAGACACCCACGTGTCAGGGGGAGAGGAAAGACATGAGCAAAACTCCAAAGGTGAGACTGGTTGTGCCATCAATAATGGAAAAAGGTTGCTGGTGCTGGGCAAGGCAGAAGGGGAGAGACTCCTCTAGTAGCCCATGTACCTTCAGTCCTGGAACTAACTGTGCATGGACATAGACATTGAGGAGAGGTTTCCACCCAGGCTGTGCTTTCTGTCCATACACCATGAAGAGAAGCAGCAGGACACAGCACTGGACCTCATGGGCTTCAGGAGCTCCAGGACAGGTTGTGGAGACATAGTGCAATGCTAGTGTGTCCCAACACTCCCAGCCCAGCTCTGCAGGAGGCTCTGGAAGCTCAGCTGATCAGCTCCCCCTCCTCCCAGTGTTCCTGACACAGCCCCTTGGTCACACCATGCTGGTGGCAGCTGTAGGGGTAGGAAACTGCACTTGGTGGCTCTCAACTTTGGCAGAGCTATAGGAGGAAGCAAGAGAGCAAGATCCCCAGCCCTGGCAAACTTTAGGTTCACTTATTTCAGTTAAAAATACCCCAAATAAATGGGGTTTATTCCAGGGTTTAGTCCAAGGAGAAGGGACTTGGCCCTGCCCAGACAGCAGGGGCTCTTCATCTCAGACCTTTGCTCAGAATGAGGACTCTGGCTGCCTGAAGGACATGTCCTTAAGTTCTGGCCATGCTGAGAGCTCAGCTCCAGGCAGGCTCTCCCTGCAGGGCAGGAACCAGCAGCTTCTTGAGCTGCTTTTTGCCCCCAGCCTTGCTGGAAACCTGACGTGTTCCTCTTTGATGGGGGTGTGTGTGTGTGTGGGAGGTTGATCTGCCAAGTGACCTCATCTGGGGAGGAAAGGAGGTCCTCAGCTCTCACTTACCACTGGCTCAATGGTGAAGAAGTCATCAGAGAAGAGCAGAGAGTCCCCCTGCACCTTGGCTCTGTGGCTCTGGAAGGTGCGGGAAAGGAGGACCAGGCGGTCCCGGAGGAGAGGATCCACCACACACACCTTCAGCAGCTCTGCCTCGTCCTCCTCCTCCCTCTGCAGCCAGTCACACAGCCTGCAGCCCCGGGGAGAGACACAGCAAGCAGGTCATTCCATCAGCAACACGTTTGCAGGGACAGGGGCAGCAAGAGACTCAGGGAGGAGGAGCAGCTGAGGTCAAACCACCACGTCGCGGGGTGACTGGAGCATCACTTGCTCCTTGGCATCACAGCTGCTTTGGCTCCACACTTGGAAGCTGAGAGGAGGTTTTGGTGAAAGCCCACAGTGCTCCAGAGAGCCACCTGGCTCAAAGCCACCACCACAACTGGTGAGAAACCCACCAACAAGCTCTTCCTGGCAGGTAAGGAAGATGAAGGAGCAGCCAGGGCAGGGAGGAGAAGCACCAGGCCTCCAGCTGCTGGTTAAGGAGCATCATGATCTTGGTTGCTTCTGTTTTTTTGGAGCTGCAGGGACCAGTAAGGACCACCTGCTGTGTTCCCTACCCTGCCTTCCACCAGAGGATCCCAGAGCACTTTCAAAAGCAAACTCATTCCCTTCAGGCAACACGTCACCTCGGTGACATGAGATGTTTCATGTGCAGGAAACCTGAGCTCCAGCTGAGGGTCCAGCACCAGTAAAAGGGTCAGGACCACCAGTAAAAGGACCAGCACCTCTGAAACCAAACCCTTCAGTCAAGCCTTGAACCCACCTCTTCTTCCTCCTTTGGGGCCTCCTCTGCACAGCTTTGGCACAGTTCATGGTGGCTGGAGATCATCCCAGGGTTCAAAGATGACAACCCAAGGAGGAGAAGCCCTGCAGGTGCTTCCCACCTGGCAGGTCCCTGTTCCCCCCTCGCCCCCCAAGACCCCTGGCCAGGAAAAACCAGCAGGTGACAACCCTGGGAGGGTGGGGAGTGGAAGGCTCTGTGTGCAGCAGATGGAGACAACACAGTGTGAACAGGACAGGAAGCATCACCCAGCTCATTTCAAATCCAATCAGAAAGGAAACACAGCCCTGGCCACCCCAGACAGAGCCTCAGGCACATGCAGTCCCCAGTGCCAAAAATACTTGCTTTGGCCAGCCCCCTGCAGAGAGCAAGAGGACATGTTCCTCCACACTGACCTCCAAAGGCATCAGGAGCCCTTTCAGCCCCTGAGAGGAGCAACCCTCAACTCAGCAGGCAATAATTCCACCATCATAAGCCAGAAAGGCCTGCAGGAAGGAGACAAAGCAACCCCCTGGATGGACCTTCTCATGCTGAAGGTCTTTTTTTGGGGTTGTGTCCCAGTGTAGGGTCTTGCATTGCCTCCTCTCATGAAGAAGTCCTCCCTGCTCCAACATCTCAGGAGCTTCTCTGGCAGCAAAGCAGTGACCTCAGAGCTGTGACCACCCCTAAGGTGGCAGGAGGGAAGAACTAAACACCCTGGGCAGAGTCTGGGACACAAATTGGCTCAAGATTAAAAGGAATTGGGGGAAAAAAATATCAGGTTGAAGTTAAATGAGGGGAAACCTGGTGCTTCTGAGGGGGGTGAGGATCACTCAAGGTCCAGCCTGAGCCCAGACAGGTGGGAAAGGAATAGTCCAGGGAAGCATCAAGGTCATGAGGTTTTTCTTTGAACACTCTGAGCCTGCACAAAAGTCACACACTGTAATTAAAAATAGAGAACAGTGGAAAACTCGTTTGGGCCTTCAAGGCATTTCTGACCTAATTATGTTGAACTTGATTTGCTCAGAAGCCCTTCAAAAAGTGCTCCAGTGGAAGGCAGTTCCCTGACCAGCTTTGGGTTCAGACTCACTCTGAGAAGTGACACCAAGTTTGTCTAAACCACCCAAGCTTTGAAGTGGAATTTCCAACTCATCCCTCTCGGGCTACAAGTGTTTTTCTGCTGCTTCAAATGGGGAGTTCAAAGCTTCCCCAAAGACAAGCTTTGAAGGACCTGCCCCTTCTCTCCCCACCAGGAAGACACATGTTGCTGAAGCCCCAAAGCACCTCCCCATCCTCTGCTCCACTGCAGAACCACCTCTAACCTCAACCCAGACTCTAAGGAAAGGGAGAAACACCTTGTTTGGCTGGAAATCAGGCCAGTGGGAGGCACTTCAACCTCCAACAGTAGATTGGCCTCAACTTTCTGGGCCAATGAGGCTCCTTCAGGAGAAGGAGCTGCCATCTCACCAAAACCAGAGTAGAAGAAACTCTAGGGACCTCAAAGATCATCAGATTCCAACCTATGACACTTCAAATGAGACCAGGCTGCACAAGCCTCATCCAACCTGCCCTTGGACACCTCCAGGGATGGGGCAGCCACAACCTCCCTGGACAACCTGTTCCAGTGCCTTCCTACCCTCCTGATGAAGAATTTATTCCTAATATCTAACCTAAATCTCCTCTCTTCCAGTCTAAAACCATCACCCCTTGTCCTATCACTGCCTTCTCAGGTGGAAAGCCCCTCCCCAGCTTTCCTGTAGGCACAACAGGTCCATAACAGACCCACAACCATGTGAAGTGCTGCTACTCCAAGGTAGCAAGTCCTGACACTTCCCTCAGCCTTGTGGACCTTCTGTAGCCCAGAGATCTCTGGCCCTTGGTAATTTGTGGCTCCCACAACCACAGATCTGCCCTCTGAGGAAATCCAGCCCTTGCAATCAACCTTCCCTCCCCAAAACACCCTCCTCAGCTGCTGCAGGGATGGAGCTGGACTGGGAAGTGCTGAGCTCCATCACCCTGATGCCCAGGGACACACCCTGGAGCTGTGGATGGTTCTTGTATTCCAAAACCCTTATTAAAAAGGCACCAAGAAACCCCTGGAGGCCACAAGTTAGTTCTACCCTTGGGCAGAGCAGCTGCCTGGAGTGGCTCTTTGAGAACCCACCTCAACTTGTGCTGCTCCTCCTCTTCCTCAGTGACAAAAGCCTTCCACTGGAAGTGGGCAATGATGTCACTCTGGTTGTGGATGACCACGGACCTGTGGTTGGACAGGGTGAGGTAGGTCTTCTCCACTGCCAAGGAGTTCCTGTCCAGCCTGATGTTGACATCTACAGCTGTTCCATGAAGGCTGGTGTGAACATCTTCACCTGGAGCAAAAAGGGGGGGGGGAAAAAAAAAAAAAGGGGGAGTTCTTGCTCATCTCACTTGGTGAGAGAAGGATGAGGAACAGAGGAAAGGAAAGAAGGAACCATTTGAGCTGGATTAGCAGTTCCACAGCTCAGGACATGTGTGTCCACAGCATCAGGATGTCCCCAGCACCACCTTCAGCCCCTTCTTTCCAGGTGTGGTTATAGGGATTCAGCCCCAAGGTGACCATATTTACAGGGAGGTCCTTCAGCTGTGCCCAGGTGGCCCTTGGGTTGCCACCCCATGGAGGTGACAAAGTCCATATCAAGGGTGAGCCTGAGGAGACCCCAGCTTGCCCAGGGTCTCCTGTGCTCCTCCTGACCCACTGCTGCTGGCAAGTAAAGCTGCCTGAGGGCACCTGGGGAGACAAGGGAGGTTCAGAGGAACCAGGGAAGTTCCCCATGGCAGGGCAGGCACAGAAGAGAACGGGGCTGTGGTGGAGAATTGTCCTCTCTTGTTGTGGGCTGATGAAGACACATCCAGATGAGACTGGTGGGGCATGAGCCACACACCATCCTGCCCAGGACAGCCCTTCAAGCCCATTTTTCAGCCTGGATCCTGCTGTTCATGCCTGAGCCTGCAAGTCTTCACCAAGTCATCCCAAGCTGTCCAGCAACCAGAGTGAGGACACCTTTGCTCTCCACCTCAGGCTGAGCAGAAGAGAAGTGAGCTCCTGGCACATCACCTGGGGTCCTGCTGGAGAACCTGCCAGCATTTCACCCTCCAGAAGAGACTCCAACCAAAGGCTCCCTCACGTCCAGAGCTTTCAAACCAAGTCAACTGAGCTCAAACTTCAGGACCAAGCCCACTCATCCTGTTGTTGGTGTTCCTCATGATGCCAATATCACACATGCTTTGGGGCAGGTCATGGCCACTCTGGACCCTCTAGAAAGTGGCATTTTAATGGAGAGATGATTAAAACCTCAGGGCCAGCCCCAACTGAGCAGAGCAGCCCTCCTGGAGAACATCCCTCACTGCACAGGCTGCAGCAAATCAGCCAGAGGATGGACCTGCTTTTGAAAGGCCACCATGCAACACCACGAGGAGAGGTGCTGGGTGGACTCCTTGAACCCTAAACCAGACACATCCCAGCAGAAGGACATCCCTTCTGGGGAAAAAAGAGCTCCCTCTCTTTTGGAGGGAGGTTGGGGAATCCAGCAAGACTCACCCTTCAAAGAGAAGATCCCCAACTCATCCCCACAGGTGGAGAACTGAGCCTTCATGCCTGTAGAACCTCAGTTTCTCTGGTCTGAAGGGAGTCAGGAGGGCACTTATGGCCAGGGATGAGTGATGTTGGAAGACAAATGGCAACGTCCAGCCTGCCCACTCAGCATCCCTGAAGTTCAGGGATGGCAGAGGCAGCTGCTCCTCAGCAGCATCACCTTTCTTCTCCCCCCTGAATCCCTGGCAAGCAGAAGAACCAGACCCAAGAGCCCTGCCCAGGGCTCCAGGCACACCCAGCTCAGGTGGATGGGACCCCAAAGGGAATGCTTGTCATCCAGGTGACAAACTACAACAAAAGGATCCCCTCCTGGCCAGGTGGGGGACAGTTCTGCTCTCAAAACCCCAGCTGGAGCATTGGGAATTCAACAGGGAAGGGTGGGAAGAAGGATGAAAAGCATGGAGCAGCTTTGGGTGTGAAGCCTGAGGAGCATTTCTCAACCTAGAAATCACATGGGAGAGGTTTAGGGAAGAATAAATGTGACTGAGGAAAAGAAATTGGCATAAAACAGGAACCCGAGGGCCTGAAATCATCTTGTTAGGCAGAAATTACCCAAAGGAAGCAGCACCTTTCCAGGGATTATTCCCTCCTCTGGAACCCCCTGGCAGAGGAGGCTGGAGAGGCTGAACAGCTATAAATCCAGAGAGCAACTGCACCAGTTCTTGGGAGATAAAACCAGCAGGAGCTGTTAAAGAAAGATGAGAGCAAAGCCTCCAGCACTGCCAACTCCAGGGCCCCCAGGGGGGGAAAAGCAGCTGCAGGTTCCTGGTCCACATGATCTGCTAAACATCCCCTGGGGCTGCTCTCCTGGAGAGGGGCTGGGGACACAGGGACACAGGGACACAGGGACACAGGGACACAGGGACAGAGGGACACAGGGACACAGGGACACAGGGACAGAGGGACACAGGGACACAGGGACAGAGGGACACAGGGACACAGGGACACAGGGATACAGGAACAGAGGGACACAGGGATACAGGGACACAGGGACACAGGGACAGAGGGACACAGGGACACAGGGACAGAGGGACACAGGGACAGAGGGACACAGGAACAGAGGGACACAGGGATACAGGGACACAGGGATACAGGGACAGAGGGACACGGACAGAGGGACAGAGGGACACAGGAACAGAGGGACAGAGGGACACAGGGATACAGGGACAGAGGGACACAGGGACAGAGGGACACAGCCACCCTCGTGCTCCAGGCACTGAGGACACTTGAAGGCTGGAGCATCTTCCACCCCAAGGAGAAGCATTTTGACATGGTGCTGGATATCTAAGGCCAGCAATGACAGGGCAGGGGAGAGCAGGAAGGGAGGCAGGAGGAAGCTGGGGATCTCTCTGCCAACAGATGAGCTGAGACAGGGAATGGAGCTGTCAGGGTTGGCCAAGGGCAGGCAGGGGCATCACAGCCTGGGTGCCAAACCAGATGTGACATTCCATTTAAGACCCTTGCTTGCTTAATATATTAAAGTCTTTTTTAAAAAAAGCCAACAAGCCTGCCTGTAATGTAGCAGGGATGCAGCAGCAGGCACTGCACTTGACAGGGGAAGGTCCATGCTGGGTGATTTGGGGAGGCTCTGCTGCCAGGGAATATGAACAGCTCTGCCCTGCCATTATTTACACAACACAACCTCATTCCAGCCTGTCAGTTCCCTCCTTCTCACAGCCTTCTGAGCCATTCCCTGCAGATGGCAGGACACAGCTCACTCCTCACAACCCCCCTCAGAAAGAAAAAAAGAACCATTCCTGAACTTGAAATGAGAAAGGGAGACTTTTTGCTCCAGCAGATGCTTTGGGTTGTGCCCTCCTGGAGCCATCACTGCCTTTCATGACCAGGGATGCAGGTCTCTTGGCACAGGACAACTTTGAATTCTCTGGAAGGAAGGACTCTAATGCTGGGTCACCCTTTCTGGGGCAGGAAAACAACAAATACAGGAACTTCCAGAAGAGCTAAACCATCTTTTTCAATCCTTCTAATGCTTTACTACCCTTCAAGCAAGAACCCCAGCACTGGGTCACCTTTCCTGCAGGAAAATGTTTTAAAAGGAATTTACAGAAGCATCTCAAGCACCTTTCTGAATCCTTCTAATGCTACATGATCACCCTGCTGCAAGAGGGAATAGATTTCAGAGCAGCACAAACTGTCCTTCAATAGAAAGACAAACGTTGTTGAGCTTGAAAGGGCAGCTCCAAGAAGGGATCAGCAAACCCTGGAAGGAGATTTCCAAACACATTTGGGGCTTGAGGAAGCTTTCCTGGTAGTCAACAAGAGCACTTCCCTTCACTGAGCACTGCTCTCAAGGTGGATCAGAGTGAGCAGATCCAAACCAGCTGCAGTTCATCTCCCCCCCCCCAAGATGGGTTCTTTGCCCTTGTGACTCCCTCCTTGCTCAATTTGGATTTAGAAGTATTTTTAGGGGTGCATGAGAGTCAAATTTGGAGTATCTGTGTAGCATGGAATGGGAAATTTGATGTCATGTGCCTGGTTAGGGGCAATGGGCACAAGCTGGAGCACAGGAGGGTGAAGTTAAACATAAGGAGAAGGTACTTGGAGGGTGGCAGAGCCCTGGGACAGGCTGCCCAGAGAGGGGCTGGAGTCTCCATCCCTGGAGACATCCCAACCCCACCTGGATGTGTTCCTGTGGGATCTGCTCTAGGGGATCCTGCTCTAGCAGGGGGTTGGACTGGATGATCTGCAGAGGTCCCTTCCAGCCCCACCACCCTGTGACTCTGAAGCTCAAGTCCTGCTCCCCATGGAGGAAGCTGAAGGCAGGTCCTGCTGCTCTTGCACTGAAGAAACAAGCACAGCAGGCAAAGCAGGACCCTCCCCATCAAGGGGTGCTGTGGTACCTCCCCAGCAGCCTGTGCCAAGCATGTCTGTGGTCCTGCTGCCACCACCCTGGCTTGCCCAAGCCACATGCCAAGGGCAGCTCTTCCCACTTCTCAGAGAACTGAGTCCCTTCCCCAGGCTCAGGGATCTCTGAAAAGCTACAGAAACCACCTCCAGCCCTCCCCACCATATGTTTTTACTACATCTCCTGCAGAGCTACCACCAGCTGAGAGCCAGGAGCAGAGCTCAGGGCTGCTCTGCTGTCAGGCAGCTCATGGCATCACCTACAAGGTGCTCTGGGTCTCCACTGACCTGGGAAAAGACCATGTCAGCCCTCATGCCTGGATTTCCAGCCCAAGAGGGAAGCACAGAGCAGCAGCAGGGATTTAGGAGTGTTTCTCCAAGGCAGGGTTCACAAGCTGCCTTCAGGCTCTGGTTAATCCTCCCATTCTTTACTCCAGCCCCAGGAGCAGCAGGTTTATAAAAGCCTCAGCACTAAATAACTGCTGCTAACAGGGGTGATGCTGAGGAATCACTTCCCAGGCCACAGGGAAGCTCAAAGCAGCCTCATTATTCCTGTTGCCAAAATTCTTGTTGTTAACAGCCAGAAGTCACTGGCACAGGGCTCAGCAAAGCAGCTCAGCACCAGGGGAGGGTGTCAGCAGAGCAAGGGCACTGCAGGAACCCCAGGAAAGCAGCTGGGGATGAAAGGAGGGGAGATTTAGGTGGGATATGAGCAGGGAATTCTTCCCTGTGAGCCTGAAGGGGCTCCAGGAAAGCTGGGGAGGGGCTTGGGACAAGGGCAGGGAGGGAGAGGACAAGGGGGAAGGGATTAAAACTGGAAGAGGGAGATTGAGGTGAGACATGAGGAGGGAATTGTGGAGTGTGAGGGTGGTG